TTCAGGACTATTTTGCTATTTCGTGGCGGTCATTGTTTTGGTGGAGGAAAATTGAACCACCGACTTTCGGTAGGAAAACTGACATTTTTAGTCACTTGCAGTCGAGTGTACCAGTTATTTGCGGGATTCGAACGTTAAATGAAATAGCAACATAATTAAGTACAATAAAACAGATGTCTATATAACATGAAAAGCTCTATATCTTTATTGAAAAACATCCCTTCGTTTCACAATAAACTTAATATCAAGAAACTGGATATAGTCTCTCACACATCAGACCATTACCCGATTTAATTCCTCTAATATCATCATCATTTGAAGCAAGAAAAACCAAGCAATGGGACATTGAAACCTCATATTTAGTGCAACAAAGTTGATCAACAGAGTTACGAAAACAGAGTTGCTCCTGAAAGTTTAAAACAGAAAGTCAGAAACAGTCAGTAGAAGAAAAGCTTTTATAGATTTCTATGAACTCGTTGATCAATCTTCCATGCTGATTTCCATAAATAATTGATAAGATAGTTAGGCCCCTCCCATTTACTTATTGGCTTAATTCCTCTCCAACCGGATTTCTATCTAGGTCAGCCCTGGCCTTTAAGTGAGACAAATTCGATAAATTGAGTTACGAAAACAGCAATGCTCCCGAAAGTTTAAATAAGAAAGTCAGAAATAGTCGGTAGAAGATGTAACAAAAGCTTTTATCAATTTCAATGAACTCATTGTACAATCTACTAAAGCAGCAACACAAACAATTATAAACGAAAAGGTAGTCCAAAACATCAATTCGTAATGAATGATGAAACTAAACATGTTGTTGTAGTTAAATTCACTGATGATTCCCAAGTAATGAAATATTGGTACATTGTATTGTGTATAAGTTATCAGAAGTTATTCCTAGTTAAAAGCATATTTTAATAAGCATTTAACGTACGTTTTATTTAAAGTTATTCACTGTATCGATAACGTCAAATATGGCGCAACTTTGTCATGCGTTGTTCAAACAGTTACCGTTGGGTTAATATTTCCTATTGTGCACTTATGATTTCATAACTGGAAGAATTGACATATCTAGATTGGTTTAGTCACGATAGTTTATTAGAATAAGCATTTTGAGTCGAGGACTGTCAACATTTATTTGTTATGTTATGTTTTTCCCTCCTGCTTAGAACGTTAACTTCCGATAAGTTATGAATAAATACCAAAGCAAGGTCAAGTTTGTCAGTCTTTGCTGTGTTTACATTTGGCCTACATCAGGATTCCGGGGAATTCGTACAGAGGAGAAGCAGCACACTTAGCTGTATACCTCGTATATTTCATAAGTAATCGTCCTAGTTAAGATGTATGAAGCAGCGCAGATAGCTGTAAGCCTCGCATCTCTGGGATTTATTTACATTGTAGAATTTAATATATTCCCGTTCAATGGTCCGTACAAAAATACAAAAAAGAATGTAGCTCTTATGTTAGAACATTGTACATGCATGTAAATATATCAGCTCTTTAAGAATTTTAATAAACGTATCATTTTCTACTATGAATTATTTAAATGTATCCATGCAGAGAGAGAGCTGACATCAAAAACCGACGGTCGTATCATTTATCCCTCAAGATCGTGTAGTTGAATGAGTTTATTCGTATTTATTTACTATAAAACTAAACAAAACACTGCATGAAGCAGAAATTACGATACATGCCGTCAAAAAGAAAACGCAATCTTTCTGTGAATGGAAAATAAATGAAAGACCAGAATATCTACACTGTATATACTCGAAAAAAAACCAACCAATGACAACCCATGAACTTCGTAAAGAAGATAGATTTAATCTAATTTAAAGGGGAACAAAAGAACAAAACAGAACATCAGACAGATATAATCATAAATCAAAGAAGAAATGTATCTAGGTATACATATCCATTCCATTATGTATATGACAAGATTCACCACAATGTAGACATCATAGATGGTTGGCGAACACATTTTTATGGACTGTAGATAGTAGATTGCAGAAAGGAACCCGATCCATATTATGACACAGACTATTTAGATAAAAAAATGAAATGATGCTAAACTGATAGTTGACATGTGCAAAGTTCGTTTCAAACATAGTGCTTTACCAGACGATGAGATCGGATAAACAATATAAGGTTTGAATATGAATACAAATGCTGATCAATGCTGAATACTTTGATATAAATGCATAAGATATGATATACAGCGACCTTAAGTTGCTAACATCTTCATCATCTGGTCTTTGGTGGATAGTTGGCAATCATGATATATATTCTTTATATTACAAAAATCAAATACACGTTGTCATCAACTTTCAAAGAAGGAGTCCGATCCAAATTATGAGATAGATAATGTCCACATTTAGTAGAGCACAAGGCTAATACAATAGTTGACATATGTTAAGATCGTTTCAAGATGGATTTGGCTATCATTTAGGTCAATCTTGATTATTTAGCTCTTCAACTGTTTCGGTTCTTATACATCATTGAGCGTTCCTGATGAAGGTAAATAGAGAAAAGCAATACGGACGCATGAAATTCATAACGTGTTGTTTTCATGTTTTAGAAGCATAGTCCTTATATAGACGATAAGATAAAGAAACAACCTTAGACTCAAATAGGAATAAACCTGTTGACTTCTTTAGTATAAATGCCGAAAACATCAAATATGACGAAAAACAATTACATCAATAACTTCTTTTACCTCTTTTGAACTATTCTGCATAATCTTGACGATGAAAAAATACACAATTCACCATGCGTTTATAGGAGCAACCATTAACAGTGATTGGCATTGCATCGAATTAAAATGCAAAATTGATATGAAATAAATCAGTATTTTTATCAATTTCCGTCAAACACTAATGTACAAAATCACTATTATTATTTGGTCCCATTAACAAGATGAGGTGTCAAGACAGTTTGCATTTGACTGATTGATATGTACATAATACCGTGTGACAACGGTGACATGCATAATCAGGACTTCAACCCCTTTTATGTTGTATGCAAATATATTCTACAATATTATATCGGGTAAAGCTGTGTTTCAATTTCAACGAAAGAGGTCAAAGAAAGAGACTACACTCGATCCCATACTGCCTTTTCTAATCTGTGATACTTGAAATAGACATTGACAATAAGGGTCGGTTGAAAACAAAACTTTACAACAAAAGAGATGATTTCAGCTTCCCAATTGTGAACTTTCCATTTCTATGTAGCAACATTCCAGCAGCGCCTGCATACGGAGTATATATCTCCCAATTGATACGATATTCCCGGGCTTGTATTTCCTATCATGATTTCCTTGATAGAGGATTACTGCTCACAAGCACAAGGAAGCTATTAGACCAAGAGTTCCAAATGGTGAAGTTGAAATCATCCCTCCGTAAATTTTACGGACGCCATCACGAGTTGGTTGACCGTTATGGAATAACCGTTTCACAGATGATATCGGATATGTGAATCTGAGGTGAAAAGTGGCTCAACCTCAAACTAATTGCAACAGAAACAATTTATATCAATTCAACTTCATTGGATACCTGGTTGTGACATCGGCGTTTCATAGACCACGGGAAATTTGTGTTTTTGGGGTAAAATGGGGATTTTTATGTGAAAATCGCTAAAAACTGGAAAAATTTATTTTTTAAAAAGTTTTTTACTAATTGTCTTTATTTTTTTCAGGAAACGTTTCATTCATATGTATCATCGTGATGAAATATTAAAAAAATGCATAACCATAAGTTTTTTGGGGAAAACACGCTGATTTTGAATAGAAAATCGCTGATAACTGGGAAAATTTATAAATTTAAAAAATCTTCTAAAATTTCATTCTCGTGTTAAATTAACATTAAGAATTTTAATCCCTCAAAGAATGAGCAGGCTTCAACAGAAAAATAGTACTCATTATTTTGACATAATAATGTAGTTTAAATCAAACACACAGTCTCAGAAGAGGGAGACCAAAACAATATTTCTAAAATCACATTGTCATAAAAGTAAATCTTATAGAACAAACTATCGTTTAAAAGTTCTCGCTTAAATGTTATATTAGAGACACATCACCAACCAAACATGTAAATGTTAGAACTAGATGTCACTATCGTCCTCATCCTCATCAATCTCCAGTATTTTACAGTTTGAACAGTTCAATCCCTTACATTCGCTACATGCTGAGCTGCATTCAAGGCCGTTTTTTCTACAAGTGCATCTGCGTGTATCGCAACCGGATTTACATTTACAACTTATCACATGCAATAACTTCTCTGGAGCAGGAGGCAAAATCGTTCTAATTTGACAAAGTGATGTACCTTGTAGAACCCATCCCCAGTCTGATGGACTAAACATATCGACAGAGTCATTTGTTCATTCTTGGATCTAATAATATGCACGCTTACAGTGTTGAGACGCTGCTTTTGAAGTAGGTGGCAAGGACTGGACATGTACGCAAGACAAAGAATTTGTAAGAACTTTATGATTAAATTTTCTGTAGCGTAACTGGTCTAAGCTTTTTCCTGCCTCACCTCCTTATAATATAACGAGAGCTGACTGTCCTGATTGTATTATATCATCTGAAGTTGCATCTTGTTTTAAAAATACTGAAGCTAACTCTCTGAAAATGGCATTCACACGCAACCGCTTCAGTCCTTCTTTCTTTCCTATGCCGTAAAGCCTAGATGTCGTGTCATATCCTGTGATAGCATGAACAAATGGTAACAAATAAACTATTGCACTTCCAAGCAACTCTTTGGTCTTTTTGATATCCCAAACCTTTGACTTTCGAATTTTATCGGATTGAAAAACCAATGGTTTAGAATTGTCCTCTGCATGGAAAAGCAGTAGTATGAGAACATCAGTGTCTTCTCCAACTGCAACAGTAGGGTAAAAAGATGCATATCTTACAGCAGTTGATGCAATAAGAACATCAGCATCAGCAGCAGCTTGAAGAGAAATAAATCCTTCATTATCCATTTTATTACAAAGCATATTTTACGATGGACATGGAAGATACAAAGTCAGGTTATACTAAGTTACGACTACTGCACTATAAATACCAGAAGATCTTGAAATTATGTAAAGAGATAGGTAATGATTTCTTCTTTTCAAATCTTTCATTTAAACAAGCATTTTCAACCAACATGTTTTCGACTGTGCACGGGCCATGTGTATCCGATAAAGTTGAAAAATTAGACGTTGCATACTGTTTACATAGTAAACTATGGATAACACCAGCAAAACAATGGGTAATACGATCAAATAATTCATGGCCGAAATACGATGTTAAACAGGTCAAAGTAAAACACGGGGTCCTATTTGTACCTGTAGGTGTGAAAGGAACTTCACAAGAAGAATTAGAATGGCGCATATCGTTTTCCGTTGTAGAAAAACTTCTTATGTATTCTTTTACACATACACAATTACAATGTTATGCACTTCTGAAAATCCTTCTGAAAGACGTTATAGCTTTAGACAGAGAATGTAAAGAATTGCTTTATTCATACTTCATGAAAACAATTTTGTTTTGGATATGCGAAGAATTGCCTTTATCAATATGGAAACCTGAAAACTTGATATTTTGTTACATGAGATGTTTCAGAAGGCATATTTATTGTGTTGAATACACAGTCTGTCCGCATTATTTCATTCCAGAGAATAATTTATTTGAGAATAAGATATATGGACACGCACAGGAAATACTATTAAATAAGTTGTATATTTAAAATAGTTATGATTGGCAATGTATCTTATTTTCAGACCAAATCTCGAGTTTCTGTGTATTGACATGTAATATTAACATGGAGTCAAGTTATTTACATGTCAACAGCGTTGAACAATATATAATCTCAGCGTTATTTGTGATGAATAGCATAGCGTCGAATTTTGAATTTCTTTTGAAAAAAGGGATATACAAGGTATTGTTCAGTAAGAGTTCAAAAATCAAATACCTGTATACATTCTACGTGTCAAATTACTGTTGCAAATGTGAGAGACTACTACCATTTGATGACATGTCTTGTAATAAATCTTATTACAGAAAATCCAATACCTATATTAATACTCTGCTATTGAACATACGTCATGACGCAGTATCTGGATGTTTGGTATTAGCTTCGTTTTACTACAAAAGAAAACAATCCAATAAAGCTCTTTACATCGTCCAGTATTCTCTATCAAAGTGTGCACAGGAAAAACTTCAAATTCCAATGAATATTTCAGACATTCATTATGAACTACTTAGTTTACATTTAAATAGGAGGATGACTATTGTTCAGTTTTGGAGATATATGCTTTTAGATTATGTGATGTTTGCCAAAACCTCTAGGTTAATACCAACTGAATTAGAAATGGAAGTACATTGTGTATTGCCTCCTGTAGTATATGCTCATTTTCTTGGTTTTCTATGACATTATCGTCTACAAAATAGCTGGCAATACCGAGATTCACTCCGGAGTCTACAATTAACTCTTAAGGAAAACTATCTTATATCAGGTGGCAATATGAAAAGTAAATGTTACAACATCCTAGGTATATGTTTTCAATTGTTAGGAGACACAGGATCAGCAAGACAAGCTTTTATGCAATCTATAGAATTATTTCCAGATGAAAAAAAAAAAAACAACACCGCTTTTCGAAGATTGCCATTAATAGGCTGATGTAAATATCGTTAGGTGAATTTTTACATACGCTTATAAGTCGAATGATTTTCTATATCTAATGCATTGCATTAAACAGTTGTATTTCAAAATTATTGTATTCTTAGTTACCGTATGTCTGATGATTTACTGGTCTTACACATGATTAAAAGTCAGATGAATATTAATAATAAAAAATAATAATCTATGTTATTACTGTGTCACATATTGATTGGCATTCAAATTATACAATAACATTAAAACATACATAGAACAAACAATACATAGCCATATCAATTTGGCTTATGAGACACAATGCACAAAAATATATACAAATATAAAAATCCAACGATACATTGAAATTCTATATATTTAAAACTAACATATGATACTAAAAAAAAAGGATGACTATGGTTTAGATACTTGAAAGGGTAAGTTTTACTTTGAGATACATGTACAAAGACTTTCGTTTAAAGAAAAGCAAGTTGGTCGTGGAAACAAAATATGCTGCTGACCACGCGTCGTACGTTTACAATCAAATTATCAATCGAATAATTGCAGAAAACGTGGATTTCCGCTATTTTATACAGAAATTTGACATAATAGGCTACTGTCCTCGCAAATGTTTTATGTGTAAAGGAAATAAAAGACCATAAAATTTTATATTTTCTTGAAGATTGTTTTTTTAAACTTTCCAATGACATGAATGAGCAAAAAAAGTGCTTGCCAGACATTTATTTTGAAGAATATATTCAACTTTATATTTTAATTGTCAGCGAATTTCTTCAAAATTTCTTACTTTATAGGCTACTGTCCTTGCCGATTGTTTTTACATAAAGATGAAAAAACATTAAATTATAGAGTTTTGAAATGATTATTCCCTTAACTTTATAATCGTACAAAAGTATTATGCCAAACAGTTGTATTAGAGAAATTATTTCTATTAGAAGTGAACTTTTCTCAGCGATTTCCGCCATTTTTTCTTATAACATAACTGTTCTGGCAGACTTGTTAATAGACCTTCCCCATTTTGTTTACCTGTGCGACGTGCAAATCAAAAATTGTCTCCCTTATACCAATTTTGCTAGGGAATTCACTTTGTCTATAAGGTCAGTCTGTGGCGAAAATTTGTGACATTTCCAAACGATAAAACCCAATTTGATTTATATTGAACAGTGGATAATTACAGATAACTCTCAATGCTTTTCAACCTCGTGCTTTATTTGGCCTTTTAATCTTTTTTTATTCGAGAGTCACTGATGAGACTTTTGTAGACGAAATACAAAATTGCAACCCTGGTGTCTATGATGAGTTTACTTGCCTCCTTCTGATAGATGTCGTTTAAATTATTAAGTTATTGAGTTACAAATTACAATACTGTAGTTAGTGTTCGATAAAATGGATATGATATTAAGAGCGAAACAGCGTCGAGATTATAAATCAATGAACGAAGGAGAAGTTATAAAAATCGAAGAAAAGTGCAAAGAACAGACACATTTTGCATCTTTATATGAAGTAGAAAGAATATTGCAAAGAAAGACTGTCAGGGAGAGGTAATCATGTTTGCTAATATATTTGAAGCAATTAGTTTTAAATTCGTATTTTATTAACTCTAAGCTTAATTTTTCTTTTCTAGTTCAGTGTATAAAGCACAATAAAAATGTGTAGTCAAAACAGTGTCCTGCAAAGTAAAGAGTTATTGTTATGATTTATACAATATCATTATTATTGCATATTTAATACTAGTGAGCTATACAAGTATAACTGTTTTACCCTAACATTCAAAACTCATGTTTATACGGTAAAATTCTTTAAATATGCGGTTGAAATACAAACATTTAAATGAGATATTGAAATTTGACTTCCAAGCAGCACATCATTTTTAAAAGATAAAAGTCAACCCCTCATTCAAACGAAATGTTCTGTAAACATCATTAGTAACGTACAAATAGAAATGTTCTGTAACCAACACTCTTGACGTACGAATAAAAATGATCTGTAATCAGCACTCTTAACATACGAATATAAATGTTCTGTAATCAGCACTCTTAACGTACGAATAGAAATGTTCTGTAACCAACACTCTTAACGTACGAATAGAAATGTTCTGTTACCAACACTCTTAACATACGAATAGAATAAATCTGTAATCAGCACTCTTAACGTACGAATATAAATGTTCTGTTATCAGCACTCTTAACGTACGAATAGAAATGTTCTGTAACCAACACTCTTAACGTACGAATAGAAATGTTCTGTAATCAGCACTCTTAACATACGAATAGAAATGTTCTGTAATCAGCACTATTAACATACGAATAGATATGTTCTGTAATCAGCACTTTTAACATACGAATAGAAATGTTCTGTAACCAACACTCTTAACGTACGAATAGAAATGTTCTGTAATCAGCACTCTTAACATACGATTAGAAATGTTCTGTAATCAGCACTATTAACATACGAATAGATATGTTCTGTAATCAGCACTCTTAACATACGAATAGAAATGTTCTGTAATCAGCACATTTAACATACGAATAGACATGTTCTGTACTCAGCACTCTTAACATACGAATAGATATGTTCTGTAATCAGCACTTTTAACATACGAATAGAAATGTTCTGTAACCAACACGCGTAACATACGAATAGAAATGTTCTGTGATCAGCACTCTTAACGTACGAATAGAAATGTTCTGTAACCAACACTCTTAACGTACGAAAAGAAATGTTCTGTAATCAGCACTATACATTTGCGAATCCAATTGTTCTGTAACTAACACTATTTAAATACAACACGAACAGTTCTGTATACTCTTCAAATATAGCATACGAATCAAATTGTTCTGTAACGATGTTAAACAGGCCATTGTAAAACACGGTGTTCTATTTGTACCTGTAGGTGTGAAAGGATCAACAAATGAAGACTTAGAATGGCGTTTGTCATTTTCCGTTGGAGAAAAACTTCTAATTTATACATTTATACATACTCAATTACTATGTTATGCACTGATGAAAATTTTTCTTAAAGACGTTATAGCTATAGACATAGGTTGTGAAGAATTGCTTTGTTCATATTTCATGAAAACAATTTTGTTTTGGATATGTGAAGAATTACCATCATCAATATGGAAACCTGAAAACTTAATATCTTGTTACATGAGATGTTTCAGGAGGCTTATATATTGCGTTGAATACACGTTGTGTCCGCATTATTTCATTCCTGAGAATAATTTATTTGAGAATAAGATACAAGGACACGCACACAAAATACTTTTAAATAAATTGTATATTCTTAACAGTTATGGCTGGCATTGTATCTTTTTGTCAAACCAATTGTCGAATTTTCAAGCACTGGCATTTGATATTAGCAAGGAGTCAAGTTATTTTCATGTCAACTGTGTTGAAAAAATATTAAACTTATCAAATATGATGTTAACACATATTTGTAAGCCGTCTTTTAAAATTCTTTTTGAAAAAGTGATATACAAGGTATTATCCAGTCAGAGTTCAAAAATCAAAAACCTGTACACCTTCATTATGTCAAAATACTGTAGCAGAAGCGAACAGTTACTGCCATTTGAGGATATGTCTGGTAATAAATCTACTTATAAACAATCCAAAATTTACATAAGTACTCTGCTTCTGAACACACGTCATGACGCTGTATCTGGATGGCTGATGTTAGCTTCGTTTTTCTATACAAGAAAACAATACGGTACAGCTCTTTACATCGCCCTATATTCTCTAACAAAATGTTCACCAGAAAAACTCTATAACTATATGAATTTTACAGACATTCATTATGAGACATCTAAAGTGCATTTATTTAAGAAGATGAGTATTGTCCAGTTTTGGAGATTTTTACTATTAGATTTGGTGATATTTACTAAAAACTCTATGATAATGCCGATTGAACTGCAAATGAAAGTACCATGTTTTATGGTGCCTCCAGTAGTGTATACTCATTTCCTTCGTTTTCTTTGTCATTATCATTTAAAAGATAGAAGGCAGTGTTGGGATTCTCTCCGGGACCTACAGTTGACTATAGAGGAAAACTATTTAATACCAAATCGTGAACCAAAAGTAGACTGTTACAACATCCTAGGTATAAGTTTTCAAGTGTTAG